ATCTGGCAGATTTTGCTCGAGTCAACAACTCTGCTAACACAGGCAAACATCAAGTAAGCTTAACAACATAAAGCCTGATTTATACTTCTGCGTCGAATCGACAGTGTAGTCTGATGTGCACCTCCTCAAAAATGTAACTACAGACACAGCAAGCAGCTAATAAGCTAGTACTGACTAGTTAGATGTCAGGAAAACGATACACAAATCACAAATTATAGTCATGAAATCCAGAAAAGGCCAGACTTAACACTTCAATGCACCCCCAATAAAAGTCTAATACCTTTGCAGCATGCACATACACAAAGTAACCTGTTAAGTCAATGAACCTAGTGAAACACAACATGGAGTATAACACTTATTGTGTTATATTTTTTGCCATGTCATTTTGCTCTGTGGGCCCCCCCTGGTGGCCAAAGCAGCCCCTTAGTTCCCTTCTTCCTTGTGTTGGCTCAAGAAGGGCTGAATGATATTCTACCCCAAAAATCATCTTACGATTATTTTGAGAGACATTGCGATATGAGTCACGATTTTAATGGCAATGAAAACTTTTGCATTCCGCTTTCACTGAAAAAAATCTAAAAATTAGGATAGTGATTGTTGCTGGAGTCTGCACCAAACAAGCAAGTTCCCTGTTTTTCCAGTATCACCAATATTCCCACAGAGCATCTTCAGACATCCACAATTAGTAAAAGTAAGGCACAAGTGAATTTCTGTTTTCATAACTTTCAACAAATCCAATGAAAAGACTAAAACCAAAAATGAATGAATCTACTATTAAGTATTGTGTGTGTATCAAAGCCTCAAGGTCCACTTTCAGCTTTTTCTACAGTGATTTCTACTTGAAGTGATTCTACACATCTCACAGTCTTCATCGTCAGCACATAGTGTTCACTGGTCAGACAGAGGCGTCACTTTTCATCATTATCACGACACCTAAGGAACTTCAACAACTCCATATGAAGAGAAGGCCCATGAGATGCAGTACAAAGCTCTGGAAAATGCTAATAGCTGACTGAAGATGACTTTTTTTTAACGGTTCACAATGTCTGTATCCATACTGATCATTAATAAATATGTTCCAACCCGTATACATATTATCTGAATGTGCATAATATCTTATCCAACTGAATGAAATCTAAACTTTGTGTTCACTCAGACGACACCATGTGTCTGCTGTTCTCCATGGAGGCCCTTCTCCTCCTTCCTCCTCCCCCTCATGGAGCTGTTGGTGTGCTTGTGGTGAAATCTGATGCCACCATTTCATTCAGAGGGCTCTTCTGCTGCCGGCCGGCCGGTCGGCTGCATTTGTCACCACTGCTTTTCATGTCACCACTCACCACCTGCTCCCCACATTCCTCTACATTCTCTCAAAGGCTGTGGTCCCTCCTCCTCTCTCTGCTGCTCTTCCTCCTCATCTTTCTCCTCCTCCTCCTCCTTCCTCCTCTGATTATTATTCCTCTAACTCTGTACCCTTTCTCCTCCTCCTCCTCCTCCTCTCCACTTTACTGCGGCTATAATCAATTCATTCCTTTTCTCTTTCTTGGGGTTCTTCATTTGATAATTGCACACTCTGTCTGCCTTTGATTTTTCTGACTTTAAGAGGGTACAAGTCGTACTAAAACACTCATCTGAATGCAGCCTCTCTCACTGGGCCCCTGTCACCCCTCCACCCCCTTCTCCACCCTGCCTCCCTCTTTCTCTTCTCTCTGTTTGCCTTCAGAAGCTGCCGACCAGAAGACAGCATTCACCTGCTGCCTGACACTGCATAAACCAGCTGCTACTGTACCCCCCCACCCACAACACACACACACACACCACACACACACACACACACACACACACACACACAAACACACACACACACACACACACACACACACACACACACACACACACACACACACAGTCCTGTTGGGTTATTGTCAGTGGGAGTTTGGACATGGAATAGAAAGTGGGCTGGCTGACAAAGGCTGAAAAAGTCCCTTTGGTCCTCCCTGGTGCCTCCTGATGCCATTGTTGTTCATGTTGTTGAGGTTGTGTGGACCCAGCAGCAGCATGTACACACTCTGTACATACACTGTTCACAGCAGAGGTTGGTGACCTGGTTTACCCAGAGAGAGGTAAAGTAGTTTAAAGGGTAACTGGTATTTTTCAATCTGGACCATATTTTCCCGTGTGTCACTGCTAATGTGACTAATTGGGACAACTTTTTTTTTTTAATTACTCCAGTATTGAGTTAGCGTATGGCAGCCAGTAGCAGCGAAACAGGTTCAGATTGTTAAGTAGTAATTTCACCTCTCTGGTTTACCGCTGCATCAATCGCAGCGGTAAGTTTGTGTTAAAGAAACTAACCAACTTAAAATTAATAGTAAAATTACTGTTTTTATCAATGGAATCTGGTGGCTTTGATGAGAGCGATACAGCGACTGTTTCTGGTTAAATAAAAATGACCCTATCTCTGTAGGTATGCTTTCCAAAATGTTGTCAGACAAAAATCTGAGCCTGTCGGTGACAAAAACATGCACTTTAGTTACTTTGATGGGGCGCAATTGCCTGCAAGAATTACATTGCAGCTCTGTTTTGTTGCTGCCGACTACAGCGTGTTCGCTCAATACTGGACCAATTTTTAGTTTTGTCCCGATTAGTCACATAGAGAGAAGATGTGTGTGAAAAATACTGAAGTTATCCTTTAACATCAGTAGACAGACCCAGTCTAACAGCTGTTGGCCTGTATGTAGTTCAGTCCAAGATAGAGCAGTGCAAGGTCTGCTACTGTAGCACATCACAGCATAGCTAACACAGCGGGGCTTTAGGACAATGTAGGGCACCCGTGCTGAACTTCGAAAACAGACTAGGAGTGCATCATAACCAGGCAATCGATCCATAGAGGATGCCATGAAAAAAATCTGTGATTTGACAACTGTGATTTTTTCCACGGTGGAAATGAGGACCTCTATTCAACATAAAGACGGGTTTACCTTCCATATGTAAGCTGCAGGGGCCATACGTGTTCATTGGCCCTTTATTTATACTTACACAAATTTCTGTTTGTTCACTGTTTGGTGCAAAGATATTGCATTTGAAGATATTCAGGTTCACACTATTTACTTTGTAGTTTACATTTTTTCTGCAAGACCAACTTTTATTTTTATTTTTCATTTTTGTAGCCTCCTGGGATCAGGAGCAGCGTCACCATTATCCAGCTCTGCTGCAGCTCTCTGGCTCGGCCTGACCCCGCTGTGGTTAGGGGGGTGCCGAGATTATACCCATGCTAGCATATATACTTACTACTGTGTGGTCCTGGGCCAATCTGTCAGCACTTCATATTACTAGAATATATACAGCGATTGCTATCCAGTACTAATCTTTGCTATAATATAAGCTGGTAGGAACCAATTTCATGTGTCCAGCATCAAGGTGCGTGCCCTATAAATTACACTCTTCTTACCACAAATTGCATCTAAATGCAGCTATGAAACTATACAGTATAGATGGAGAAATATTACATTTTTTAACACCCAAAAAATGTGATCATCTTTTACCATAACCACCATCTTTTATGACCTTAATAAAGTGGCTTTAGATGCTTTTTCAGTGAACAGTATTCCTTATTAGTTATACCCAAATTATAAATCACAGACAGTGGTGTCTGAAAGTAATGTTTCATTTAATAAAGTCTATTGACAAAATGTTTTACAGAAATTGCACATCTTATAAATGAAAACTTTGGCCGTGTAGCTTTTATAAGTCATTCCAAGTTGTTTAGTCATATGCGCTGCTTGTGTATGTGCTATGTATCATAGGCAGGTTTATAGAATCCCCAAACTCCTTAGAGCATGAGGTGCCATGGTAGCTCATCATTTCCAATCAAAAGTGTAAGTTAGGTTGAACAAAGCTCAGCTGGAATCAGAGTGACAGCACTGCCCTCTAGTGGCTAGTTGTACAACAATAATTTGATCCTTCCAACAAGTATAGTCTTCCTTTGATTTATTTACCAGGGACAATATGCTAATTTGCATCTATAGTCCCTGTTCCTGTCTGTGGAACCAGTCTGATTTTATGCTTCTGTGCCACATACCTCCATTGTTATCCAACAATAAAAGAAAAAATAGACACAAAACACAAACATAAATACAATACAATGTTGTGGATGAATATTCCTTTTTGCAACAAGGGCTGCAGCCTACAATTACTGAGACTGTTCATGGTTTGGTCCTGAAAATGTCAGAACAGTAAAAAAAATACCAAACGTGCTTGCTTTGTCTGCCCAAAGATACTCACATTTAACAAACTGACTTTAATGATTATTCAATTATCAAAATAGTTGATTCATTTTGTGACCATCAATTAAACAAGAAACAAAACATTGGAGCTGAAGAGGTATGTTTAGCTGTATGCAACACCCTGCCATGTTGTGACGGTTTGACTGGCTGCCACCAGTTACTGAAGTAGCAAAACCACAAAAACCAAACATTCCACACGTTGAAGGTAGAGGTGGGTTTAAATTTAACTACGGTGTGCACTCAGCTGTCAGTTTATTAGGTACACCTGGCTGTAGTTATCTGTATAAATGTACTGGATTATACTGACAGGTGTGCCCATTATTATTTTGTCCACCATTTATAGTTCCCATTTACAATTCAACAGCGGCACAAACCTGATCCCACAGGTGAATCAACACCTGCCATTCCACAGGACTGTTGGATTAGGCCGCTTTAGTGTTAACAAGGTGTCCCTAATAAACTGGACACTGTATATTGTGTGTTTGATCTGTAACCATGCGTCATTTTCTCTCAAGGATCAATCTTCATCAAAATCTTTTTCTGCAACAGACAGCAGTCCAATAAATGCTGTGGTGTTAGAAACACCGTGTAATAGAGGAGCACAGAGAAGCCGAAAGTGAAAGTTACTTGAGACACTTATTTACTTTCCACCATGAGTTGCTTCCATTATTTAGTCACAGTCAAACCTCCCAAAGAAAACAGACACCTTACAGCAAATCATGGTCCAACACTTTATTTAGACGTCTTCTGCTGTAGTCGTGGATTGTTCTGTTATGTAAAACCTTCAGCGTTGACTTACAGTCTATAACTACTACCTTGATTTTTTAAGTCCGCTGCACACTGAATCATTGCAACAAGTCCAATCTTTTTCCACAGTCAAACAATAAAAAAAAAAAGACTCTTCTTTCTCCTTCTCACAGTTTCTGGACTCTTGCTGGAGCAAAGTTCCAGACTGCAAATTCAACAGTGAAGAGTGACTGCATTCATCCCTCAGACTTACACAGTTCATTGAGGGCCGTGGACTCTCCTACATGTGCCCTACAGCCCTACCCACCAGAATGTGAAGGCAAAGACTGTCAAACTGATGCAGTCACTGCTTCACACTCCAAACCCTCCGAGGAATCCACTGCAGACCAATCACTTGCTTCCTGTGAGACTGACATCTGCTGGCTGACAGCAGCTCAGCGTCCCTCTCTTCTGTCCAGGACGCCTCTATCATCATCATCATCATCATCATCATCATCATCATCATCATCATCATCATCATCATCATCATCTGGAGATTCAGAAAGAAGTCCCTTCAGAAGTTTTGATGTAATCCTTGAAGTCAGTGGGGACACTCAGCATAGAGCAGACCTGGACAATACCAGATAGGGGTTAGCTGGTGTGTTCTGGCAGCACTTAGAGCCCAACACACAATCACTGTAGTAATGCAAGGAAAACAGATTGAAGCGTAAAAATACTGTGTAGCCAGCAGAAAACAAAGAGTAGCTGTTCTGTCAGGAGCGTGTGAGACGACTGAAGCGCCACAACCCTTTAGTCTAGACGTGCGACATCTACCCAGAACATGGTGTCTGCAGGTAAACATAAAGCTAATACCTCTTACTTGCTGTCTGATCAGGACCAATTTAAGGACTTACCTACATACAGCGTGTACCTGCTGTGACATTTTGCTCCATCAATGTTACGTGTAACTATTTACCGTAAGGTAGAACAGCAATGCAGCTCATTAAGTAGCAGCATAATAAATGTAAACATGTTTGCAGAAGCAAATAATATGCACATCAGTATGAAAGGTAACCAGAAATATTGGCAGATTTATCTGCATGTTTAATCAGCATAGGGATAAGCACTGGTTCTGATTAAAATAAATATTTATAAAGTAAACAATTAAGATTTTCATGCTGAATTCAAGCCCACACTAATTCATATTTGAATATGTGATTGACTTCTGAACTGCAGACACCTTGTTAACTTGGTGTGCCTTAAATAATTCAAAAGGTCAAGAGGGTATCTGCAGGTTTCGGGAAGACATATGCTGCCAGGAATGGACTAAAGACCATTAAACTACAATTCCCACCCGCAGTTTTATGCCTCTGCCAGCCAGTCAAGTTGTAGTTCACATCCCTGTCTGTCCAGACTCATAATATATGTAGTGATGAATGAAGGATGACCATAGGCACGCTCCAATTTGCTGTTGGCAGTCACGTGATTCCGATGACGCTCAACAGAATAAGGCAGGAAGTGAAAGGCAGAATGGACATGATGGAGGAAAGCCATTGCTGTGCTGCTTATTGTTTACTCATTGTGTCGTCCCAGTCAACATGTGACATCTGGAATCACCCAATTCATTCTCAAATTATGGCTAAAAACCTATTTTGAGGTCACAATGACCTGTCACCTGATGTGTCACCTATTCAGTGTGTTCACTGTGAAATATGGTCACATGTTCCCCCTTCTGTTCCTGAGTTATGGGGTTCAAAAATGGAAGACAAAAGGGCTTTTCCAGGACATTATGATGCCACAGTTAAGTTGACCTTTAAACACCAAATTCTAATCAGTTCATCCCTGAGTCCAGTAGACGACATTTGAAGACATTCTCTCAGGGCGATCCTGCGATATCGCGTTCACGAGATTTGGACAGATGGACAACCCAAAAACATAATGCCTCTGGCATCGGCTAACTGATAAGCTGTCCACTGAAAAGCCATAAAGACATAGTTGCACAATATGACAATTCATATTAAAAAATAATATTAGGGCTAGGGCTGTGCGACAAGACGACATCTACATTTTGACGATAGAAAAACATCTATCTTTCATAACTACCCTCTATTGTTTACTTCGTTGTGTCACAACTTCCATACTACACACAATATTTTTGCAAGGGGACGGCGCTTTGCACGGTTTGCACCCCGGTGAAGTTAGTTTTACGTTGGAATTTCGACAGACGTCTGCCAAATATCCAAGGTGAAACTAATATCCAAATTGAAACTAACCTCAACGCGGACATGCCGGTGTATTTCATTAAATTTACAAACAATGTTCTGTATCGCGATACGGATTATTAGCCTAATTAGGGCTGATGTAAGCTGCCAGGGGTTTGTATGGCTCGGCTTTTCGCTCCCTCATAACGCTGTGCCTTAGCTTACAGAACCAGTGTTTTAATGGAGAACAATGGAGTGTGTTTGACAGCTCCAGGTCCGAGGAAATCATCATTTGTGCGAAATGGGACATTTGCACAAAACCTGCTAAATAGGCATGGTACCATCAATAGCGCTATGTTTAAATTTTGACCCAGATTTTTAAAAATGGCAGCCCACAAAACCACGCCGTGGTCAACTGACAAGTGCAGGCGTTCTTCTGATTGTTTGCCAATGCGCTGAAGATGATGTCGCTGCAGTGTCACGCAAAGTCGCCATGACAAGCAGCTAAGAATCCCACCTCCATTGCTATTTGCAGCGGAAAATGAAATCAAGAAACGTACCTAGTACCAAAAGTGAGTCGGGTGGAGCCGTGCTGTACCACGCAGTGGAAATGAGGCTAAATACCTCAACCAGCCCGGGTCCTTCAGACTGAACTGAGATATCCTTCACTATTACCAATTTCCAGTAAATCCAGTACCTGTCTGAACTTGGCACGAAGTCTGTCCATGTCCTCCTGTAGCTTTTCAGACTGTGGATCATCATGAGGGGAGTTTTGGATCAAACCCAGGACAGCCTCCAGTGCTTTCACACGCTTTCTGACAGCACACACAGCCACAACAAAATGATCAAACTGGACCCCCCCTGTCCACCAACATATGATCAGCACACAGACAGTCATATGATCACAGTTTCAAACTATCAATCCTTTATCTGCGCTCCAAGAACCCACTTGGCTGGATGAGAATTAACAGGATCATTTTAGCCTGGATTCATTCGTTGATGAACAACAGGGCTCAGTACTGTGGGGGTCTTGTCCCTGCTCACTGCTTTTAGTCATTTGAACTGAAGCAAAAGAAATTAAAATCATGTGTGTTATAAGAAACTGTTAGCATCCCCCAGCACAGCGCTGATGAGAAAATTGGAGGAAGATCTTGTTTGAGGAGACCGTACCTGGATTTGACATCTGTATTATGTTGGAGGAGACATTTCCAAGTGATGGCAAACCCATGATAGAAGGAAATCTGTAGGGTGTTAGAGGGGAAGAGTCAGCACTTCTCACTGTAGCAGCACAGCTCAATTCACACAGGAAGGACCAGTCTAACTGACTGCGTCCCTGACCTAATGGCAACAGGAGGGCCACAGAGAGTGCTGGCCCAGGTTCATCACTTATACAGAGGTCATGTCATGTTCTGTGCACTTTACACTTAAAACTGCAAGGCAGACAAAAGCAGAGCAGACCAGTACTAACAGTACACCACCGGGCCCCCCGGCCACGCTCACTGCGCAGACTCACCTCAGTGGACAGCTTGGCCCCGTGACAGGCTCCGTGTCTGCGACCATCCTGCAGTCCTCGGCGGGTCCCTTTCTCAAATCCCTCCCGGTAGCCCTCCCCTCGGAACCTGAAAAACAATCTTTCAGCGTCATTCCGTGATTGTCGCTCATTTCCCACATAAATAAAGAATAGTCCCTTGACGTTACGTGACGCTGGTTAGTTTACAAGCAACGTAAAGCTTAACATTTGGCTGGCGTTAGGTGGACATATAGCCTGAAGAGGACGGCGGAGGCATTAACCTTACTGTTATCGAACTCTCCTCCGCTTTGTGTTTCGGGCGTTTGCCCAATTGACAAACCAGCAGGAGCTTTAACCTACCAGGTAACGTTAGGCACGTGCCCCGGTCCACAAGACAACACTCAACTGCCAGAACCTCACCTTTCATCCGCCATGACAATACTGTCAAATAGGTCGTCATTTCCACACCCGCCAGCCATCTCCACCTAACTTAGAAGCGTATTAAAAACGCTTTTCAGAACGTTTAGGCAGCCGTGGGAGCCAGTTGTTTTGTTCAGCACAGACTTCACAGGTCGCTAAACCGCTGACTGTGGGGTTCCCATCAGTTTCCAGCAGCAGACTCTGCTTCCTCCATCAGCCGCGCAGTGCTGCCCCCTGCGAGTCTGGAGGTGAACACCGTTTCTGCATCCGGTCATGCAGTGTAGCTTCCTGTCACTGAGGTAAAATGACTGTTTTTATCAATGGAGTCTGGTAGCTTTGACGAGAGCGCTACTGACTGCTCCTGGTTAAACAAAAGAATCTTCCTCTTTAAAAAGAGCTTTATCTCTGTAGGATCCTTTCCATAATGTTGTCAGACACTAAAAACAAGCTGAGCCTGTCAGTGGCAGAAACAAGGTTGAACAATACCAAAATTACCCTCTAATGTGAAGTGTTGAAGAATTTTTCAGATTTAAACCTCCAGTTTAAAGTGTTTCTCTCATCATCAAAACTAGGACAACCTAACAGGGTATGTCATGATATTTGTCACATTTCCTGTCAAACAAACAAAGTAGCCTACAGGACACTATGGCCCCTGAAAAAACCAGTCCACCACACTATAGTGCCAAATAGGCCTGCAGGCCAGGAGGTTTCATGTGGCTCTGGAAAACTTTAAAAGAGATGTTGAAAAAGCAGATTGAATCAAATTCACTTCAAATATACTAATACAATACACAAAACACGACTGAAAATGATCTGTCAACATGCCTCATTTTGAGGACAGTAGAATTAGGTTCCACCCATGACACACATGGAAATGATGAGGACTAACTCATTTTGTGAGGACCGTAACTACAACACACAAGAATGTCACTGATGTGTATTTAAGTGTCAACAACAATATTGCCAAAGCTGCATATAACTTACATACACACTCTCTCTCTTTCATTCTCACTATCATCAAGTCCCACTGCTTCTTTCAAACTCATCCACCTCCATCTTCTCTATCCCACATACCCACACAATCCACTGAGCCACATGACGTTGCAAAGTATTTGTTGTTTTCATGCAAATGAGCAACCACATACATACACATGAAGGAGAGATCAATAAAACTTCAAAGTCATTGCTAACACAAGTGGTATAATACAGTACACATCAGTGCTCTTTACTGCAATGACTTCACATATACCATCAGGATGACCATTTTAATAATCTTCCAAACTGTCGCAATTTTATTTTTGTGTTGCTTTCTCTGTGCTGGAGATATTTTATGAACTTGATGGTTAGATCCAGTTTGTTATCCACACAAGTCTCGCCGATGTCCGCCTGAGATCATATGTCAGCATTAAATGTAAGCCTATTGCTCGGAAATAGCCCAGCCAGCGTGCAGCAGTGTGTTTACAGAAAACAGCTGATGGAGGTAGCCTAAGCTAAATACTGTGTCCGAAGTTGTTGTTTTAAGTTTTCATCAGGAAGTTTTTACACGGAGCCGAAGTCGGTCTCCTCCTCTCCAAAAGAAGCAGAACAGCTGATTACAGCAGGTAATAAAGCTTGTTAAACATCCCATTCCTCTGACGCTCAGGCGACACAGACAAGTGCTGCAGCTGGTTTGGTCTGGTCTCATAAAACATCCTCAGCATTGTCTAGCAGATGTTGAAGGACCTCAGCCTCCTCAGAAAATAGAGATGGCTTTGGACCCTTTCTGTAAAGGGCCTGAATGTTCTGTCCAGTTTATTGTCAATGTGCACTTCCAGGTATCTGTAGTCCTCCACAATGTCCACACTGACCCCCTGGATGGAAACAGGGGTCACTGGTGCCTTGGCTCTCCTTAGATCCACAACCAGCTCCTTAGTCTTTGTCATGTTGAACTGTAGATGGTTCTGCTCGCACCATGTGACAAAAGCTGCGTTTCGACCAAAGGAACTATACCCCGGAACTAGGAACTCACTGCGTTTCCACCGGAAGGACCGGGGTCTAAATGTAGTTCTGGGGTCTTCATTTTACCCCCCAAAAAGTCCCTGCTAGTAGTACTTTCCGAAAGTACCGGTACTTTGGGGTGGGTGGGGCTTGCCATGCAGTGAAATTCTGAATGGGCGAGTACTGTAGAGGCTTTAACTGGAGAATGTCGGCTGGTTTTCTACTACTGCTCCTTTCTTTCCCACCATTGTTGCAAACCAATAAATCACAATCAACAGTCAGATAGCACACACGTCTTGCCGGTGTCCGCCTGAGATCGTACGTCTGCATTAAATGTATTGCTCGCTGCAGTAGTGTGTTTACGGCGAACAGCTGATGGAGTTACACTAAATACATGGTCCTGAGTTGTTGTTTTAAGTTTTCATCAGTCAGGAAGTTTTTACACAGAGCCAAAGTTGGTCTCCTCTTCTCAAAAACAAGCGGAACAGCTGATTACAGAAGGTAATAAAGCTCGTTAAACATCCCGTTCCTCTGACGCAGGCGGACACAGATGTCAGTCCTGCAGCTGGTCTGCAGCTCCTGTCGGTTGGAAATGTTGTAATAACCTTCCAAACTGTCGCGATTTTATTTTTGTGTTGCTTTCTCTCAAACTTTATGTGTGTCTCTCCATTATAGTCCCACATAAAAAAGCTGTTTTTGTCATGCAAAGCCTATAGATTTTCATTATATTCCAATCACATCTGATTTTCATTTACTAATTTTGCTCATGGATAGAGGGTACAAATAAGGATGCCTGTGCATCGCTGTGTACGGCGTACAGGCCTACAGCCTACGTCGGCTGGTTAATTTGCCTAATCTTCGCAGGTCTTTAGACCACGGTGGAAACGCACACAACATTAGTTGTAACATTTTAGTTCCTTGAAAAGAGATCTGAGGACTAAAAAGTCCCCAGTACTTTTGGTCAAAAAGCCATGAAAGTCCCCCACCAATCGTAGCAGAGTCATCAGAAAACTTCTGAAGATGGCAGGACTCTGTGTGGTAGTTGAAGTCCGTGGTGTAGATGGTAAAGAGGAAGGGAGACCACATACTGTGGTCTGCCAGTCAGGTAGTCAACAATCCAGGACACGAGGGGGGCATCCACCTCTCAGCTTCTCACCCAGCAGGGCCGAGCGGATGGTGTTGAAAGCACTGGAGAAGTCAAAAAACATGATCCCACAGTGATGATGGCGTCCTCAACTCCCAGTCGGGGCTGGTAGGCGAACTGGAGTGGAAAGGTCTGACAATGGGCCACAGCTGTTCCAGAACCAGTCTCTCCAGGGTCTTCATAATGTGGGGGGTCAGTGTCACAGGTCTGTAGTCCTTGGAGCCACTAGGACGTGTTGTCTTTGGTACAGGAACGAGGCAAGATGTCTTCCACAGCACAGGGACCCTTTGAAGACTCAGGCTCAGGTTGGAGGTGTTTGAGGACAGACAGCGGCTCAGTTAGTGGGGGGATGGGCGGGAGCCATTGAGTCAGAGCTGTTAAAGAACAGATTAAGTTTGTTGGCCCTGTCCAAGCTGCCTTCAACTCCTCTGCTGCCAGTGATGTTCCTCATGCCGCTCCAGACCTCCCTCATGTTGTTCTGCTGGAGTTTACGCTCCAGCTTCCTCCTGTACTTCTCCTTAGCCTCCCTGATCTTCACCTTCAGGTCCCCCTGAATGACCTCCTCCCTATTGCCGTCTCTGAAAGCCCTCGTCTTAGCATTTAGGATGTTCTTGATGTCCTTTGTTACCCACGGTTTGTTGTTTGGCTAACAATGGACAGTTTTTGCTGGGACAGTCCAGTCTGGGGTTCAGCAATGGCTGAAGGTGGATGACGTTAAAAGTCGATGTCGGGTTGGCAGAGGGCGGAATGTAAACAGCAACAGCGATGGCATGTGAAATTTCCGCTGTTAGCTCGTCCATCTTATTAGCCAGTGACCTCACATTGCCCATGATGAGAGAGGGGAGACACAGCTTAAATCTCCTCCAGATCTCAGTGGGGATGTCTGTGGGCCTATTCGCCATGCCAGTGCAGTCAGCTGGTTCCGGGTGTACACAAAGCGGCCATGTAGTTGCTGCACAACGGTGCCGTGATTTAATTTAAGAATCAAATTCACAGCTAAAAAACTCTCTTAACTTGCATGATTAGAGCGAGTGTAGCACGTGAGGTAGAAAAAAGAAAGTTAAAAAGTTAGAAAATAAGATGATGAACGGGAGCAACTGCAACAGGCTACATGCACGGTTGGTGCATGCGAACTAATTGCATTGTTATGCGCAAAATTGAATAATGAATTCTATTAAATTTAAATGTACTGCTATATACAGAAAAGTGCAATACATGTGGTTTGCAAGCGGGCGTGTTCCCATGAAACTGTTGTGGTGGTGCTCCCCTCAGGCACACGCCCGCCCGCTGCCCAAGTTGAATTGTCTTGAACTTATTGTACGAGATGCAAAGGCACGCCAAGAGATTCTTCCCAAGATGCCTTGCCAGAGAAGATATCAGGTGTGATGTGATTGAGAAAATGTGGCCAAATGCAGAAGGCCGGGCAGATCAGAATATGACTTTTTTTCTTCTGTGGCATATTCTGTTGAATATTTGGGATTGTCTCATACTGCAATATAATACTGTACTTTTTGTCCTGTTGCAAATAGAGCCTTTACTGCAACAATCCTGTCTCTGTCTTCTCTCTTTTTTTTTTATAGCTACTTAAGCTACTCTAAGATGGGTCATTCATCTTTTGTATTGAAATTCTGCAGCAAAGGAAACAAAATGCATGCATTTACCAAACTCACCGAAACAAAAATTTAGAGAGGCTTCAAACGACACTGCAGTGCAAAGCATGATCTATCTATCAATACAATCAGAAGAAGAAGAAGCAGACCTGACATATATTAAATAATGCAGTTTCTGTAATTCCACCTAATGTTAGTGTTTTTATGACATTGGGCTATGATTGACTAAATGTTGAAGAGAACATGTTAGTGTTTTGGAAGAATTATTTGATTTGGGACATGTTTGCTGTGTTTTGGTAGATATAGTGTACTGTGTCAGTGTATTATTGTATTTTGAAAATTAGTGTTGGAGTTTAGTTTACAATGTGCGATTTTGAGCAAGTTAACTGTTGTGCCAGTGGTGTGTTGTAGGTGTGTTAAGAGTTCAGGAAAATTGTTAAAAGTATTGAAAAAATTGTCATAGCAATAGTGAAAAACTGTAACTTTAGTTA